AAGAAAATAGACTTTCTTTTCGCTCTGCTTACTTGAGTATCCTGTTTGTATCGTCAACGAAGATGTACACGGTAAAAAGAGATGTTTTGTTTATTTTTCAGTGAAACTTTTACCTTGCCGCTCTGAAGTTTCAGTTTTAATGTTTCTCTTGGATCGCGGCTATTTGATTTCATAAAAAGCATGGTTAACAAAAGACATATATGACTTTCTTACAAACATTGCTTTGTATGCGTATTTTTAGATGACCTCAAAAAAAAAGGAGATGGTTCTCAATTCGTCGGAATACTTTTGCATATGTATCCCGGCAAATACACATTAATGGCCCAGCACTAGCACAATAGATATGTGATAAGTACTTAAAGTTAACGAATTTCGTTGCCTTGGACTTTCATTATTTTTTAATATTTTTACTTACTCTTAAATAAATGCTGGTATTAAGTACATTAGCTTCATTTACGCACTAGAGTTGGTGTACACTAAGTCGTTGACCTTTTGGTAAGTTATGATCGATAAGGACCTCTTAGATACTCGGGTAAATTAACATTCATATTATTTTTTGTGGACCACACCTGTCTCCACTGGAGCTAAGCCGTGGTGACCGGGTATGCCTAGTTTGCTTTTCTTTTCAGTTTTCATTTATTTAGTAGTTTTAATCGATTTGAAAGGTTACTATAACATATAACCCTAAAAATCATCCAAATATGCGACTGAATATTAACAATAGTTCCAAAAAATATTGCCATAAAGGTTTATGCGAAAAACTGATGATTAATTACAGTATACCAATATATACTTGGACCTCCATATACAATGGGATATAACGGATATAACACTGCAGTTAAATGCGACAGAAGTTCAAAGTCCAAAGACTGGTTAGGTATTAAACGAGAATTACGACTATCCTTCCTAAATCAATCAATCTAGATAGCAGGACGTCCAGGACCGATGCGATGCAATAAATCACAAATAGAACACATGACATTTTGCTGTGAATATGAGCTTAAGAGAAAATGTAATCAAACGAAAACTCTGCAGATCCATAGGTTTAATTTATAATTTGCCACTAAATGTTTTTGAAACCCAACGTTATTTCATTAAAGAGATTATACTGAATTTTCTATTTAATTAAATTAAATACATAATTGAGTAATGAAATGGCTCAAAATTAATTTTTGGACAAATTTTATTACTAATACCGTAATAAATCTAGTAGCGTATCTATTTTATTAATTAACACATTCATGAATTATTTCTTTTATAAATTCACAAAATTATTTTCCAACGATTAAGTTCCCGGCAAACAATAAATTTCCGAGATATTGCTGGCCTTTTGCTGTAATTGACGAGAAAATGAATACGACGATTAAAAGATAAAGGCCTACTTTTGGCCTTTCGATAGTGGCGCAGCATTGTTGCTTGATGATGGCCTTATGAAGGGCAAGTAACTGTATTGGATGAAAGCATTGTAATTTCTTCTTTGGAAAGTACAATGTCTTCCATGAAAACAGATATTTCTTCTGACTTTTCTTCTTTGGAAAATAAAGTTTCTTCAGACATTTCTTCCTTAGAAAAGAAGGTGTCTTCTGATGTTGCTTCCGTGAAAAACGAAATCTCTTCTTTAGAAACTAAAGTTTTTTTCTGATATCTCCTCTTTAAAAGATGAAATTTCTTCCGAATTGGAAAACAAAATCTCCTTAGAAGAAAGGGTGTCTTCCGAAATATGTCTTCTTTCAAAAACCAAATTTCTGCCGATGTGGAAAATAAGATGACTTCCGTTGAGAAGAAAATAATGCCTTCCGTTGAGAAGAAAATAAAAGAAATGGGAAAGAAGAACTGGAACATACTAAACCGGTCAAGGACGGTGAAATAAAGTGCCATGAGGTAGAGTCGAAGTTGAAATTGGAAGGAGTTGTAAATTCTGCCCCAACTTTTGACGGAAAGATGTCATGGACAAACTATTTTAAGCAGTTCGAAACAGCTGCCAGAGCAAACAAATAGTCTGAACGAGAGAAGGCAATAAATTTGACCATCGTCCTTCGAGTTAATTACCTGGGTCATGTAGTCAGCAATTATGACGTGGATGTATATAAGGAAAAAGTTGCTTCTGTCAAAGAGTGGCCACAACCAAAGGTTAAACACCAAATAAGAAGTTTTCTTGGGCTTTGTACGTACTACCGAAGATTCATAAAGAAGTTTGCAGATATTGCTAAACCACTAACACGATTCACAGAAGAAGCAGGGGGATTCTGCTGGGACGAAGACTGGTAAACTGCCTTCGAAACTTTAAAGAAGCATTTAACAACAGCGCCAATATTAGGCTACCTACTACCAGAGGGAAAATTTATCCTGTATACTGATATCAGTAATGTGGAAATTAGAGGAGTGCTTTCACAGATTCAAGGGGGAAAAGAAAGAGTACTGGGTTATTTTAGTAAAGTGCTAAGCGAAATTACTGCGTCACGAGAAGGTAACTCCTGGCAGTTGTTAAATTCGTAGAACACTTCTATCAATACCTATATGAAAGGAAATTCTTAATCCGTACCGATCATGCCGCTCTTAAGTGGTTGATGTAGTTCAAAAATCCGGAGGGTCAAATCGCCAGATGGATTGAACGACTTCAAGAGTACGACTTTAAGATCGAACATAGAACCGGAATAAGCCACAGAAATGCCGATTCTCTTTCTAGAAAACCGTGTCCAGTAGAGTGTTCCCACTGCAACAAAGAGGAAAACAAAGAAAGTGGACTACTAAGAACAACTGTAGTCGACGATGAGTGGGCCCCTGCTAAAATTAGGGAAGAACAAGAGAACGATACCGTTTTAAAGAAGATGCGACAATGGAAAGAGGAAAATCGTCGACCTAATTGGCAAGAAGTATCTAACCTCTCTCTAGTACCTAAGTCGTATTTGGCTCAGTAGGACTCCTTTATCCTGGAAGGTGGCTTATTAAAGCGAGTACTTGAAAATGATGATGGTTCCGATAACAGAAGACAGTTGGTCGTTCCAAGGAGTAGAGTAGACGTAGTACTTCGTCAGTTACACGACAGTCCATCAGGAGGACATCTTGGTGTTAGGAAAAGGTTTTATTGGATGAACAGTTTCGATGATGTAAAGGACTGGTGTAAGAAATGTACCAGCTGTGCTATGAGTAATGGACCTCAACGAAAAAGGAAGGCTCCCATGAAACAATACAACGTTGGTAGCCCATTTGAGAGGATCGCCTTAGATATTGCTGGACCATTCCCCGCGACCGAGGATGGTAATAAACACATTTTGGTGGTTATGGATTATTTTACAAAGTGAGTGGAAGTCTATGCTATTCCAAATCAAGAGGCCGCAATTGTTGCAGATGTGTTAATAAAAGAGTTTATCTATCGATTTGGAGTGCCCTTGGAGATCCAGTGACCAAGGCAGACATTTTGAAAGTCAACTTTTCCGTGGAATCTGTGACAGACTAGGTATGAAGAAAACCAAAACCACAGCATTGTACCCACAATCCGATGGAATGGTAGAGCGAATGGATAAGACCATTGGAAAATATCTGTCAAAAGTGGTTTCAAACCATCAGCGAGATTGGGATCAGTATCTTTCGCTCTCTGCAATGGCTTATAGATCCGATGTCAATGAATCAACAGGCCAAATACCAGCAAAGGTCTTGTTTGGGCGTGAGATGAGACCACTACTGTGCGACCTCGAGTTTGGATGCCGATCTGAAGATGTAGCTGGTGAAGATTATGTGATTTAGTTACGAAGAAGAATGGACGATATGCATGAATTAGTTCGCTCGCATCTTCAAATCGCCAACGACAGAATGAAGAAGCGATACGATACCCAAGCCACAGAAGGATGTTTCAAAGAAGGCAAACCATATTTTTATACCCATTTTTTTGTAATTAAATGTTGCTAAAACTTTAAACTGCAATTTTCCCATTACGATATTTCACTTTATTCATAAAAATTATGTGTAAAAAAAAGTTAATAACGAAACAACTAGTTTTTTTTTTCCAAAATTAAATTAAAAAAATACAGTTATAAAAGTAACAATAATACAATTTCATACCTAATTTAAACACATATCAGTATCAAACTTTCAATTAAGTAAAAGCGTTGAGGTAAAATTTATAAATTTTTTAAATCCATTTTACAAATAAGTGATTTTCCCAAAATTAATAATTTTGTGATGTGCCACTATTGCACCCAGTGAGTGATATATTCCGAATAGAATGTTTGAAATCCGGGAACATTCGAATTAGTTCTAAAGCAGGATTGTGATTTATTTTCTTACGGCTGAATTTATTATTAAATTGTACGTGTCCAACAAATTCACGAAAGCGCGGCGTTCAGACTGAGGCGCTTAGGTAGCTATAGGTATTAGAAGTGGTACTTATTTTCTTAACATTTTCGCTATGCTCATTCGACCATTTCTTATGACAGATTTTTAGTTTATTTTTAAGTGTTTGTTGTTTCACTTTCTCCATCATTTTCACTAGGCCATTTTTTCTCTCCAACATTTTAAAGTGGTGCCTACGAGTGACTTATTTTCTTATAGCTGAATTTATTATTAAAGTGTAGTAAGATATGAGTTCAACGATTTCACGAAACTGCGAAGTTCAGACAGGGGCGCTTAGATAGTTATAAACATTTTCTTCGTTATTGCATCGATTTAAGAATGGGTTTCAACCTGATTGTAATTGGTTATTAATAGACAAATTGTTTGATTTCACGAAAAAATTATATTTTATATTTGTATTTTGTTTTTATTGTTCTTAAAGTTGCATTATTTATACTATAGCTTTTTAGCTTTTAACGTTTTCAAATTATTTTGGAAATAAAATTAAACGTAATAATTAAACTGTCGCCGCCTTAAGACATAAAATATGTCCTTGTCCTCTGTGCTACCATCTAATAATTTATCGTCGACGTCATTAAGGGATTACCGAACCAAAATAAGACGTTAAATTAAATTTCCGGTACGGTAAACAGTAAACAAAGATCTCTTACCTGACTTGCCATTGATATCTTTGGCTTTAAGATTGCGGGCTTTGAGCAAAGTTAACGTCAAGATACTGTTACTAGGGTGGTAGCAGAGTGAAGTTAGGAGCTCGCCGCACTTGTCCTTCGCTGGCGGTTTTAATGCTTTCCAGAATGAAGGTTTCTCGCTCAAATCAACCTAAAAAAATTTTATACCAAAAAATGAAAATAAACTGAAATTATACATAAAACTAAAGTTTCGAGGTGTTAAAACTACTATAAAAATATAAAAAATAAAACCGTACATTGCTTCTGGGCCGTAGAAAAAGAAGTATATGGATTTTTAATGTAACTATTAAAAAATACCGCACTTCTTGATCAAGTACTAAGATATTCATATCTTGTGTTGAAATAATTATTAACTATCTTCCTAAATGGTATAAGTTTATTTAAATTTGTTTCTCACCTGACACAATGGCAGAAACACCTCTCCAATCGAATCGTCTCTAGAAAACCGGTCGTAATCGAAAACATGTAGGTGGAGTACTCTCGATTGCAACTTTTGAATAGGGAATCCCTCGAAATAGAAAGTCTCGTTCCATCGGGGATTCAGCGTCCGTCGCTTGATCTTCGTCTCTAGCCGGTGCTTTTTGTCAGGCAGTAACGTCACTCGGACGTAAGGGTCGCTAGTGCCGGACAGATCCTTCGCCGGTAGTTCTTTACCCTAGTAAAAAAAAATACAAATATGTTTATTAATGACAAACAAAACAATAATCTTAAAGGGTTTGTGCAATTAGAAATTTCTTATTGAAAACCCCGTTTAGCGTGTGACGCAATTTTTAACAGACTTCAAAAAAGGAGGAGGTTATTGTGATATTTGTTTATTTTCAAACAACAGTTTATTTATTAATAATTTATTTAAACACTTATTTATTTTAAACAATACTATTTTAATTTATATATATACTTCGAATGTCTTTAAACTGATCACTATTTATATTCACCACTGTCTATCTACTAATTACTATTTATCTGCACTGTCCATATAACTACTGATGATGATGGCTCGCCTCCACCAATTTATATACAAAATTGGTGGCCTAGAATGCTCCCCCACCAAAATTGCCAGTATGTACCAGAAACGCTATTACGTTCTAGAAATAGTATCTCGTTGACCCTGGAATGTTCGCGAAAGTGTCTCCACCATAGTCGTCCCATAGGTTTGGTCTTAAGGGGTTCAATTATGAATAGAATAGAATAGAATTTATTCACTACGTTATATACAAACAGTACATTTGTAGCAAGTCACAAATAAATAAAATATGTTCCAAGAACAATAAAAAATAAAGGTTTCTAAATATTGCACAGTTACAAATATTTTACAGTAACAAATAATAATATTACAACTAACATAACTTAAAATATATATGTATTATTTTTATTTTTAAATTTTTTAAAATAGTCTGTATATTCACTGACTGAATAAAATCACATTTCAAGAAGAAATCGCTTTAATTTTCCTTTAAATTGGGAAAAGTTTAAATATTTTAAATTTGATGGTAAAATATTATATAAGTTAAGGTTCAGTGAATTTTTCTGGGATTTAGATAATCGAAATTTTTGTTTCCTTAGATTCCCAGCTTGTCTGGTATTATAATGGTGAACATCAGACTGCTTTAGTAGATTTGCACTGTTTTTGTGAATTTCAAGAACTGTATTTAAAATAAACAGTGATGGTAATGACATAATTACAAATTTTTTGAAGAGTGGTTGACAGTGCTCACGGTACCCAACATTCGCTAGGATTCTTATGGCTTTCTTTTGCATACGAAATAATTTCATTGCCTCTGATGAATTACCCCAAAGAATAATTCCGTAACCTATCTGGGAATGAAACAATGAAAAATATACCATTTTTAAACATTGAAAATTGGTAATTAAGGCCAAACGCCGAAGCAAAAACAACAAACTAGATAATCTTTTAGCAATCATATCGATATGGCAGGTCCATGATAGATTACTATCAAGTTTTACACCTAACAATTTGACACTGTCAAGTTCCGATGATGAACTACCAGATCCAAAATTAAGGTTTTGAGTTTTTGTATCATTTAGCATAAGTTGATTGGCACAGAGTCATTTTTTTGACAATTCAATACTGCACTTAGTAGCATTTAATAAACAAGATTGATCTTTTCCAGTTGAGATAAAGGTCGTATCGTCGGCAAATAGAATAGTTTTGCAAGGGTTCATATATTTAATTAGATCATTGACGTATATAATGAACAGTAGAGGCCCAAGGACAGAACCTTGTGGTACTCCATGTGTGATCATTTTAAACTTAGATGAGGTATTATTAAAATATACAGCCTGCGATCTATTTTTCAGATAAGATGAAATGAGTGACAGGGGTACACCTCTAATTCCATAACAATGTAGTTTTTTCAGCAGAATGTTGTGAGAGACACAGTCAAAGGCCTTCGAGAGATCACATAGCGTAATTGCAGTGTATTCACCTCTTTCTAGGCCCTCAACTATGCCACTATGTATAATAAGCGGACAAGTTGAGCCTCGAAGGCCAAATAATACTGCCGCGTTTAGGGTTTTTATGTTTCCCTAAACGAGCTGAGGGGTTAATTATAGCTAGATGGTAGAACTACTTTAATAAAACATAATAATAATAATAATAATAATAATAATAATAATAATAATAATAATAATTGAGAATATTTATTTAATAAGTAAATGATTTAGTTTAAAAAAAGGAAAAAGACAATCTCCATTGAATAATGATAAAAATAACAAATTAATTAGGTACTCACCAAGGGTACACCATTTTAAGAGGGATGGTGCTTGTGTCGCTCTTCAAAACCAAGTGATTAATTATATTTAATATTTTATAAAGAAAGTTGGGGTTCATGCACTTTTGCTTGATCAGGTAATTCGTTGAACCGCGTTTACTGCTGTCTTTGCAACTTCAACGAATTTCCATAAAAGTATCAATTAATTAAGAAACTTGAATTTGCACTTCCTCTTTAGAAATAATATCTTTAAATAAACTAAACAATGAATGTGACAAATGAAAATAATAATTTAATATGAGATAAATATTTTTTAATAAATGAATAATTATTTAACTATTTTACCTATAGTACATGAACCCTAAATATATTATTTGACAATACAGAGAGGGACTTGGAGTATTAGAGCATGACTGAATAATGAAATGGCTCACATTACATTATCAATTAGGCAATCCAAATCATGTGACTTTAAATGGGAAACCCTTGAAAAAAACAACAACAGTACGTGATTCCCTTGAGCAAAATAGTTCTAGTGAAGTTTTTAGTCTAAGTTATTATTTTTTTTGGAGTGTTTAGAAGTGGTAACGGCATCTTAGTCCAGTAACTGAAGGGACCAACCTGTCATTAAGTCGGTCCAGATTTCCGTTGTGGCTCAACTCTTAGGTCTCGGCGGTCGCTTCCAAGGTCGAAAGCTTTTACCAACTCTGCTGCGTCGGAAAGGGCCCAAAATGGACCCTAAAACTAGCTTCCCGCCAATATCTTCCACAATATGCAAATTAGAGAATTTTTGTTTAGATAAAAAAGAAATATCTTATCATTATCTACAAAAATGGTCCCTATAATTTTTGTCGGGAATTCGACAGGTTTCGAGATAACCGCAATCAAAAGTCCCTCGTTCAGCCCTTGCTTTATCTCTATAGCAATGCTGATTAGCTTGTAAACGGGTGGACAAATTGTTTCAGAACTCGGTCAAAAATTGATATTTTTCGACGATTCAAAGTTCATTACAATGGGAAAACCCATAGCTATCGATCCATGTGCCTTGAAGCCCGTTATTTCCTGTCAAGAACATTGAAAAAGGGGTCAAAGTTGCGTTTTCCTACTATTATGGACCACTTTATAGTAATTCATTCATATTTTTTTTCTTTTAATAGTTTTTTATCCCATTTTTGTTTTAAATGGGATCTTGAGATGTCTCGAATGATCTCAGAAGTTTTTTTCCAGTATCTTCCTGTCATTTTAAAACAAAATTGATTTGTTTTCTTTGAGTTCTAGAAATCTTTGAAACAAGCAGTAATTAAAAACTCATATTTCATTATATTGTTATTCAATGCACACCATTTTAAAGCTTAGAGTGTCTAATTTTTGAATGTATTTTTTTTTTAATAAAGTTGCTCCATTCTCCAGAAATCGGGAAAACCGGACTACTTCTTGTTCATTTTTTGAACATTAATACCCAGACCGAAGTGAAGCTGATATTCTCATCTTTCCATTTCTATCAATTGATCCCCGTATGTGAGCGTGGTTCTTAACTGTTTGTTAGAATTATCTCCCCCATTTTTACGTTCTCCGCCTGAGATATATGATATTCTATCATAACCTAACCACGTGTACCCACGCGCCACGCACTCACCTTAATCGTCAGCTTTTGTTGGTATACAATCTGTTGTTTTTGGAGTCGTTATTGTCGGTTGTTATATATTTCTTTCGAATATTTAAAGAAAATTCACAATTCTGGATTCGAGTAGTACAATAATAAACAATGATTACTTTTCTTTTCTATATTTAACACAAATGAGTTAAAGGTAAGTCTTTTGTTGCTATATCTATCATATAATTATTTCTACTAATGTTATTCTTTTTTTTTTTGTAGGTTAAAACAAACATAAAATAGAAAGTCCTTTAGATACAGAGCTTTTAGCAGCACTTCTAGAAGATTTGCTTTACAAAGTGAGTGTAAATTACCAGAAAAATTAATGAAATTAAGTGTAAAAGGGATCTGGCCCCCCCTGGAACTCTTGAAGATGATTTTTTGTCAGTGCAAGACAGGCTGCGAGAAGAATTGTTCATGTTTGAAAGCCGGACTGAAATGCTCGCCTGTCTGTGGTTCGTGTCAGTTGATACAGTGTTTTAATTATAACAAAAATGAAGGTATTTTCCCGGAAGAATTAGAGATGGATCGAGACCCAGAAGGGGTTGAAGGGGAGGAGGATGAAATAGCTGTCGAGACAGCAACACAGAGGTTGGAAAAACAGGGGGAAGGGACGCGTGGAGGAGGGGAAGAAATAGAGCAAGAGCAAGACGATAAATTGAATGGTTTAACGTATGATACATTATAAGCATTGCTATGTATTTCGTATTTTCAACATGTTTTTCATAATAAAAGAAATTTTTCAGAAACTTTCTTATTTTTCTGAAATCCTGGACCTATATTGTTCCGATAGAAGTTGGCGAAAATTTTGCAAAAGACGCAGAAAATATAAAGGGTCTTCTCGGGTCAATATTCATCACACTCTAAAACTAGTAACCCACTATTAGGCAAAGCGCCGGGATTTGAGACTGCCACATGAAACAAAATTTTTTTTGCACTTTTCTATTAAATTTTGCAACGCAAATTACACAGAACATTCGGCAATATAGATGAGATACCCCAAGCGCTACTTTACAGAAAAAATCCCGTAGAATGCGCCAATAATTGTCGAAAGATCGATTGGTGTCCAAAACATGAAAATCAATGTATTCCTAACTCCCTCGAGCGGAAATTCTATGAGAAACTAACATTTCTATTCAGTGCAAAAATTCGGGCTTTTTCGAAGGCCGTTTTTGCAAAAAATATTCGTCTTGCGAAAAAAATGGTAGGGACAATTTTTTTAGATAATGATACGATCTTCATTTTTTATCTAAACAAAAATTGTCTAATTTGTATATTTTGGCAGATATCAGCGGGAAACCATTTTTTCGGACTTTAGGGGCCATTTTGAGCCCTTTCCGACCTAGAAGTGTTGGTAAAAGTTTTCGCCCTTGAAAGCAACCGTCAAGACCTAAGAATTGAGCCACAAAGGAAATCTGGACCGACTTAATGACAGCTTTGTATATTTTCAGGTCTTCAGTTACTGAACTAATCTGCACGATTTTGAAGTCGGTTTTTTAAAATTACTGTTAATTCTAAATATTTGTTTGAATTAATATGATTGTAGGAGCTGGTGTTTAGTTATTAGTGTGTTGTTATGGTTTTGATGTTATATTATATGTTGATGGAAAATGAAGGACTAATTTTGATGTTGTCATAAATAAAATTATTATATTAGACTCATTTTAGAGTCTATTACAATTTAACCAACGTCCTTTATAATGATCAACAGATCTTTTTAATAATTTCTGGTAGCTATTTATTTCTAACGTTTCTCCACAGAATTTGATTTGGTGTTCTTTCATTTTCTATTATTAAATTGTATAGGGGTAACCCTCCATTATGCTCCTCTTAGTACCATAGTATTTTTGTAAGAATTATAATTATATTTTGTATAATGTATGAGTAAGTATGTCGAGTAGAAAACTGTTTTCACAATTTTCAGATGAACACGTTGTTAACCTATTATAAGAAATGAAACATTTTTATATTTTTACCATCGATCATTTGGGCTTGCTGTGCCATTTCATAAAAAATAATTGCTTGTTATAAATTATGTCACGAAGGCAAAAAACACGGGCAAAAGCACGTGAGCGTACAGTCAAAATCGATTAATCAACGAAGTGCGAAAAAATTACCTTGCAAGCGACCGGCAGTTACACATGATTGGCCGTTGATCGTTTTCCATTAACGGGAAAGCTATTCGCACTTGTGCCAACCAAAGCAAAGGCCAAATGGAAGTTTATCATAAAAAAAGGAATTGTCGATAAATTATTTCGACTGTTTTAAATAATTTTCTCATTCTGAAATGAAATTATTGTAATAAAGTTATAGCACGAAAGCGAAGTGCGTGAAACTGTATGTGAAAGACATCTCACACGTTATTATGGATTTTCCGAGGATTTTCCAAAATTATGGTAACATTTTATATATCATCAATAAATTTTCGTGGAAATTAAACCTCCAGAGCAATGTGGAAAATATATAATAGTATATTTTTCAACGAGTATAGAATAATAGCCATATTCTATGCGAGTTGAAGACTATACTATCTCCACGACTATTATAGACTGTTATACAATTCACAGGCTTTGTTCTTCAGGATTATTTTGTTTGATCTAAAAATCTAAAAATCTAAAAATTTTATATAGTGGAGGCCAAAGTCGGGATTTTGGCAAAGAATAACAAATAAAAGATCAAGCAACTAAGTAAGCGTAGTGTTTTAAAGAGATTTTTATTGTTAAATAAATTAATTAACTACATTGAAAACAACTATGAAAATTAAAGTTGGTTGATTTTATTATTCCACTAGTTGAAGAATGTTTACATTCTTCAACTAGTGCAAAAATGTATTAAGAATCAACTTATTATTACATAGTCGTGGAGAAAAAATATTACTATTTTTATAACATATACAAAGTGGACCACTCAAAAGAGTCCACCCAGTTATTTGGCAGTATTCATAGAATTTTAAGAAAATGCCGAAACAGGTCAATTTTCATTATAAAGGGGATACATTTTTACAATATAGACACCTGTCATGTGTCAATCCCCTTCCTCCCACTTCTCCAAACCCTTAATTTTGACACATAATTAGAAAGGTATTGCATATGATCAACTATGACTATTTTTTTCGATATTAGCTCCATGTTTGTAAAAAAAGTGCACTACCTTTATGAAATTAAACGTAACGACTATGTTTAGTCAATAAGTTCAATTTTTTTCATGACGGCAAGAAAACGAACTTTGCAAAAATGTATTAAATAGGTAGTATTTTTTTACATTTATTGGGAAACAAAAATCTTTAGAAACGGAAGATAAATTTAAAAAAATTAAATATAAAATATTAATCAATAATAAAATGCATAGATATGTGTGTAAGATACAAAAAAATATGGAAAACTACGCAAGTTTAATTGCAAATAAACTACAGAATATGTTTACCTGTTGCTTGTGCAGTTTGAAGTTTGATATCATCTAAAGTAACTCCTTCCTGTTTTGTTGCGTCAAAATATTTAAAAACATGACTTTGTCCGTTAATAACAGATCTGCACTTTTTTTCACCCACAATAGAAGACATTATCAAAAATAAAACCAGTCACGTTAACCAAAACATAAACAAGAAATAAACAATGATCTAGTCGTTACGCTACTGACTATAAACAAGGACAAGGTTCAAATTGTGAACGGGCATGGCGATTTTTAAGTAAACGAACTTGAGCATTTGCGCTGGTTCTTTAGATTTGGTATTTACTGTCCTTAAATATTTACGCCCTTCAGAATATAAATAATACCTCACTACTCAACCTACACTACTCAACTAATGGCGCGTTCTCACGGGTTAAGTTCAGTTGACCAATTTTAGTTGATTAACAAAAGTTAAATACAATTTGAATCAATTGTTGTTCACACATTTCAATATAAACTGAATTATCAGTTTCAATGTAAAATGGCGTCGAATGCAGTTGTGCGTGAATGTGTACAGAATGCTTTATTTTTGTTAAAAGAAGAACGGAACAGAATTGTTGATATAAAGAAAAGTAGTAATTAACGTTGTTTTTTGGTGAGACAGTGGATTCTAAGAAGAAATAGATTGGAAGCATCAGAAACCTTGCTAATAGAGCTGATTCTAGAGGATAAAGAAAGGTATAAAACTCATTTACGAATGTTTAAAGAGAAAAAATTCGAGGAACTGCTCTCAAAAGTTCAGGATCGCATAAAAAAGCAAGATACAGTGATGCATCAAAGAATCTTAGCAAGATTAAAGTTGCAAATGTACTACACATTATTTATTACACATTCGTCAAAAGTTGACTGTCTAGTTCACACGTTTCAAGACAGGCTTTAACGTGAAAACAATTCATGATGACGCATTACTTGAACGATAGTTGGACTGGGTCAAACTTTCGTTGATCAACTAAAAAACTGATCAACTCTATTGAAAGACAGATTCTCACAACAGTTTTTATTCAACTTTTGTTGATCAACTAAAATCAGTCAACTAAAATCGACTCGTGAGAACGCGCCTTAAGGTATTATTCTTCCACTAATACTTTACTTTTTTCAATCACTCATTTTTTTTTCATTGAGAATGTTTTTTATTTAATTTAGTTTTATCATATTGTCATAACCTTTTAGATATAAAAATGTAGGTATAGCATTTATTATTTTTATGATTTGAATTTGATTTGTTGGGCAGTGTAGCACGTCTATTTAGAAATTAGAGTGTAGGATTTGATAAAGGGCCGGGAGGGTATTCGGTGAAATGTCAAAGACCTATGGCAAATATGTGGTGTTTCAGTCGTTCGTTTAACTGTGTATTAATCAAATATCAACGGTATTTGTATACTTTTTATGTTGACAGCGAACAACGAATTGTTCAGCCACTAATCAAAAAAGGTTAAAACAAATATTTTCTCTGGGAATATTGAAACGCAAGGCTTACAAGTAACAAACATCAAAAACGAACTGTAAAATACATTTTATGATATATGTCATTGTATCGTACGAACAAAATATATAGGCCATTTGAAAATAATTTAATATCCGCATAAATTCTATAGAAAGAAAACAATCGAAACCTACAGGCTAATATAACGAAAGAGAACTTTTACTTGAAGTTCACTTTGAAGTTATTTCGAACTGGTTTTTCTAACTTTCTTTTACTAAAAAGAATTTTTACTCTATCGTTGATCTATGTCTAGTTCTAACATTTACCGGATCGGGCACGGTGGTGTAGCGGTCTATCGCGCTTATATTCATTTATAGGCAAGTTTATGAGTCTGAGACTGCTGGGTTTCGAATCCTAGACCAGACCATGTGGATTTTTAATTGAATTGCATGGTTCGGTTTAGGATTTGATGTGTGGCGTATTAATAGAAATTCAATTTCTGTTGATATGACATGCAGATTAAAAAAATTCGCCATACATTACCGTCTCGATGATGGTGGGTGAGGTTTTCCGGGTTTTCCTCACCTGTAAGTCAAATGGCACCATCAATCATCTTTAAGTCGCCCCGGAGCGCCACGGCAAATAATAATAATAGCCGTCCCTTTCCCCGGACAAGCTCAGCTTTTGGGGTTAAAATTCACTCGTAAGGGGGTGAATTAGGAAGAGTATTATTATTATATTATTATTATTAACCACAAAAAAGTTAGATTTTTGGGTTAGTATAACTAAATATTTATTTTATATAATGTAAGTTGTAAAATGACATCGTAAAACATTTCAACATCTTTGGGATTTTACATTATACTATACCAAAGGTAACAAATGGAGAGGAAATAAAGAACAGTTAAATAATTATCACTAATTTGTAAGCTGATTCATTAAGATATTGAGGGGGCGTTTAATAGTTCCCAAATAAGATCTATAATTAATTTTCCTTATTTAATTGTATTTTAAGTTCCAAACATTTTTCTTGTTTTGCATTTTATAAATAACGGATTTTAGGACTTAAATTGATTTCAGATTAGATTAAATATAGGGTTAACATTATTTAATCTTAAATTAAGTGTTTATTAAATTTCTTATTTTTTTTTATATTGCAAATGGTTGATACCTTTTGATTATTTTAAGTTTATATTTATGTTGAGGTTAAGTTGAGTATCGCAAGTTAGACTTCGCCTCATGATGTTTATATGCATTATAAATTACAAGCAAATAAAGGCATTTTAATATTATTAAAAATATTCTTATAAAATTAATCACATAGTCTATGTTGGTCTGAAAGTATTTGGTAATTAAATGGTAAAAAACGAGTGAAAAACCAGAAAAAAACTTACCTGTATAATTCTAAGGATGAGCGTTGTATTTTGAAAATCATACTCCAAGGAAAAGTGTATTTGTCCTACATTTTCTGAGGGTTCAGAGTTATCAATGTACATGTCCACCAGTGATATTGAGCGATTTTGAAGAAATGCCATCTGAAACAGAGAATTAACCCATATCGAGATAGTTTTAAATTTTGTTCAAGAATCTTTAACCTTCTGATTGCTCAATGTAATTTGATTAATAATAATTGGAAGGAAATATATTTTAAAAATAAAAAGCAAGTTGTTGATGTGATTTCCTAAAATTAAAATGGTGATTTGGTTTTTACTGTTTATATTTAACTTTGGTACATATTATACGTTTCGGTATACAAGGTGTTAATGAAAATAAATGCATTTAGTATCAGCTTTCGTACATGTACGCTCTTATAAAAAATGTAGATATTAAAGAAACGTAAATTATATAATTTAATTAATATGCATTCGAATTCTGCTAATACAGACTATATTTATATACAGGGTGTTCATTAGACTAGGCCAAAAAAAATGACTATTTTTTTTGAAAAATATATCGAGAACGTCATTCAGGATGACAAAAAAAAAAATCGTGAAAATTTGAGCCCTTAATATTAATTTTATTATGGGGTGGGTTGGTTCAGTGGTTAGAGTCATGACTCTGAGATCGGAAGTTCTCAGGATCGAATCCCACCGGTGACAGGAATTTTTATTTAATTAAAAAAAAAATTAAATATTAATTCTAATGCATAGGTAGGATTCCCCACTCGACCATTCACTGTTGGGTTCTAATTAACAGTGCTGTTCCTAAAGTGGCGCTGGGAAATAGTAACAAAGCCTACATAGAACACAAGGCTAATGGCCGTAGTAGTCGACGCCGATGACACCAAAATTAAAAAAAAAAAGAGGTCTATCATCGCTATTTTTGATTTCTAGTCATAATTTGATGTTTTACGTTAGAACTGTCAAAACATTAAAGTGAAAAAATCCTTTTCACTTATTTTTATATAAAATTAAATTCTCTACAAAAAAATTTCAATTTTTTTTCTTCGATTTTAATCGTGAATAACTTTTGAAGAATTAAATTTAGGCAAAAATTTTAAGAGACCTTTTTTGTAGAACATTACATTTCCTTTAAGAATCCGACGTAAGATTTATTAAATTTTCATTGATTCATTAGTTACAAAATTTCAAAGTAAAAAGGACAAATCGAAAAAAGACATCGATCTTTTAAGCTCAGTTACTCGGAAACGGCTCGTCTGACGAAAATTTTCAATTAGACCTTTTTTGTAAAGAATTTAACATTCTCGATATATTTTCAAAAAAAAAATAGTCAATTTTTATGGCCCAGTCTAGTGTTCATTTAAAAACTATCCAGTCTTTTAATCCTCCTTCCAATAAATATTATGTGTTTCCAATTTTCCATATAATTTAATGGAAGGAAAATATTAAGGATGGCAAGATTTTAAACGAACACCTTGTATTATCAAATAAATTCAATTGGTTTTGTACATCAAAATTAATGACCCAAACATAATTTCCTTTGTCAATTCATTTGTGTTATATTAATAATAACTGACGCTTCAGTTGTATCATTCACACTTAATTACTCAAATGGGATTTATATCGGATCTTGTGCGTGAGATTTATAGCCAAAATTAACTGTACAGTTTCTCCCATTTGGTATACAAAGTGGATATGTGGTGGCTAATCTTACTAAAACAGCAAACAACTAGAAACAAATTCTAGAAACATTTAGACACACTGTATATTGATCTTCTTATGTTTAGCCTCCAAAAACCATACGGGATATCCAGTGTTTTTCCAAAACGCAATTTTCCGATTCATAAAGCCACATTGATTTCAGGAGTGTTTACTCATCATTCACTTCAGTGGCGGTTCGTGGCTTGTGTAATAGAAAGGGCTGAGTACGAGGGCACTAAAAATTCAATACCAAAAATCATTTTAACTTAAGCGGTTGAATACGACGCTTTTTAATTCCGTTACTTTTATGATAAATAATTATTACGAAGATAATTAAATAAATAACACCACACTAGCTTAACATAGCAAAACAAACCACAAAGCGATATCCCAGATGGGCTGACTGAGCTGCGCCAGCCGACGCTTGCAATAATGCATCATACAAAACGCATAATTTATTTCCACTACTTTGCGATCTACACGTTGACGTCGGTAACCATGGCAACTGTCCAGCGATTCGCTATGGGCTGCTGGTACTACGCCAATACAATAATTATAACGAGCATTTATTATATGATAGAGAAAATCTGTATTATTCCTATTCGTATTGTCCGGCTCGTCCGTAGCTAATTGAATTGTTCGCTCACAAACTTTATTATTGCATTTATTTGTGTTTGACTCTTTTATTGTTAATAATAAATATAATAACTGTTTAAGACTAATTTGCAGATGATTCCTGCTACTTCGCAGGGAGGGCGACGCCTCAGTGCCATTTATGATTTTCTAACCATAAATAATTTTATTACATTTTCTTCAAGCAAGTTTCACAAGTACCGTAGTAATATTTTAAAAGCAAGCTACTCGAACCGTAAAAAAACGTTCACTTTATTATATTCTTTGCAAATAAAAATAATAAATTCTTTAGAGACAATAAGGAAACATAATTTTATCATAAAATTGAAATCTTTCTTAAAGAAAATAATTAAAAGCCACTTTATATAGCTTTCTCATTTTGCTTTAATTTATTAATAACCCTTGACTTAAAGCAAATATTATTTTCCTCCTTGACGAATTTTTAATGACAAACGAAAGAAAATAGAGACATATAATAAATGCGCAGCTGGAATAAAAAGTTACAACGAAATTTCAGTATAATTTGGTCTCATTAAATATAATAGAGAAAATACGATATTGATCACACACAATACACCTTTTAAGTTGTACGAGTAAAGGAGCAACAGGAGTTCTAAAACAAACCCCATGTTAAATCCCATAAAAAATCACTAAAGTTAAAAGTAGCAAAAAACGTCGAAAATCGAAGTCTGGCTTATCAGTAAATATGATAACGTTAGATAACGTCGAGAATCCAAGATGACAGCAATCGTTGACGTAAACAATGAAAAATATACGAGGTAAACGAAAAGTCGGAAGGGCCTCTTTATTGCTGTTTGTCCGATTCAAACGGGAAAAACGGTATTACGTAGAGAACGCGGTATAGATGAACGTTGAAGAGAAAAATCATGCCCAGAATGAAATGCCAGAAGGGCCTTGGCGTGTTTCTTGAGGTAGGGCTACTTAAGGCCGCCTGGGTACACCGCAACCCGCAATACACGGTCTAACATTTCGAGGCGCCGCGGCTCGCTACATCCGGCTTAGACATATCTCAGTACGTCATATCATAGGTGTAAGATTGATATATTAAGTTTGATAGATTAATGGATGTTAGGTGTAAGAGATTTTCAAATATCAAAAGATTAAAGGTTGAAAAGAAAAATCATGCGCAATCAAGGACCTAAGCATGTAATTACTATTAGTCGGATTCCAACGGGGAAGTGGGGGAATTAAATCTTAATTAACGCTGAAGGGCATAAGACTTATATCTCCACTATTATTGGTCAAATTCAAACGGGGGGAAGTGGGGGGAATTAAACACTCTATTAACGCTGAAGGGGATTTAAACTAGGAAAACGGTATTGTTTCAGATTAACGCTGAAGAGAAAAAAACATATGAAGCCAGAAGGGCCTAAGACTTATATTATAAACAAGGAAAACGACATTGGTATAGATTAATGTTAAAGAGAAAAAATCCTTGTTATAATTATTAGGTGTAAGAGATTTTCAACAATTAACAGGTTGTAAGGATGTAAGACAAGAAGGATAAATCTTTTAATAATGAATGTGTTTTAGATGTAAGAAGGGTCAAATGTTAAAAGTATTTAGGTGTTAAAGTTTAAGGATAATATAAGATCTTGGAGAACTTCATGATAAATCCACATGTAGATGTGATAGAGGTGCCGAAGGAATAAGGCGGAGGAAAGAAACTAACGAGAAACGAGGACAATTTTATAAAACAGAACGGGGAATGGAAATTAGGAATAATTACAAAGAAAAACAAATTAGGAAAAATAAACTAATTACAAGTTTACTGAAAATGGGCCTAAATAAAAAAGCTGAGCTTCAAAGAGAGACAATTTTGAAACTCATTGAGTTACTGTAAATACTTAATATTGTTACTTTAAAAATATAATTTTGAAACAAAATATATTTTATTTTCATTGTCCAATGTTGACTTTACCCTATTATAAATAACTTTCCCCCATTTAAATTATTAGAAATATTTGTCCAATCTTTACTTAAATATCCACATCAACACTCTACTGTCCAGAGTGAACTACACGTTTTCCATTTAAAGAGCATTGGTGTCCAAGATCCTATGATAATTTCAGCTATATAACAGTTCAAGGTAAACACCAATAACAACGATCCGTTAATGCCCTTTTGTCTTTGATGGCAATTCTTTCATTGGAAATGACAGCTAAATGACAGTTCACGCTGAATGCCGTGTGCCGTTTGAATCAGACCAGTAATATCCGAGAAACAAGTTAAGGCCCTTCTGGCTTTCGTCCTGCGCATGATTTTTCTCTTTAACGTTCATCTATACAGCGTTCTCTACATAATGCCGTTTTTCCCGTTTGAATCGGACCAGTAATATCTGAGAAACATGCTAAGGCCCTTCTGGCTTTTCGTTCTACGCATGATTTTTCTCTTCAACGTTCATCTATACCGGGTTCTCTACATAATGCCGTTTTTCCCGTTTGAATCGGTCCAATAGCAATACAGATACACGCTAAGGCCCTTCTGGCTTTTCGTTTACCTCGTGTTAAAACACATTTTTCAATAAAACACCGAACTAGAAATTATAAATAATATATTCACTAATAAACAACAAAGAAGTAATAATCGCATAAATATATCGCCGATGTGTTTCTTACCACCGTCTCGTATAGAATGCCTCATGGAGTCGTCCAGCCGGTCCAGGGCTGGAACTCTGTGTCATGTAGAATTCTACTTATCGATTTCTACAATAGATTCTTTTGTGGCACTCTGTGTAACATAGCGGAAAACCAACGAGTATATACTTACTACAGGATAAC